TAATACCAGGGACTGGATGGAGTCTAATTAAGAGTAATAATACTTTAGTAATGGAGCTAAATAATGCCAGAATAAAGGCTGCTCTGAATCTACCATGTAGCAAAAGGTAAGGCAAGCCTCTAAAGGATTCAGTTAATCTACAAGTTACTTATCTGCACAGTAGAATAAAATCCAACATTCTTTAGAGAAATATAACCAAATCCAGCCCCCCAAAATGTCACAGTACCTGACATTCAAATAGTACTAGGAATGCAAAAAAATAAAAGGAAGGTATGACCTATAGCTAGTAGAAAAATCAATGTAACATCCCAGAAATGCAAGAGGGAAAGGAATTCTAAGAGAAGGGCCTTAAAACAGCTATTATAAATACCATAAATAAGATGAAGGACATTAAGAAAAATACAAACTTGATAAGGGGAGAAGTGGAGACTATAAGAGATTCACAATTCAATTTCAAAGATAAAATATACCATATATGAAATGAAAAACATTACAGTAGGCTTGAAGACACAGGAATAAAAATGTATTATAATAAAGTACTGAAAATACAAAGAAGAGTTAGAAAAAAACTGAACAATGCTTCAGTGAATCTCAGTGTAACATCGAGTGTTCTATCAGAGGGAACCAGAGTCCCAGAGAGAAGAAGGGGTGCTACAGAAATAATGGCTGAAAAATCCCCAAACCTGGTGAAAAAGATAAACTGATGAATACAAGGACAACAAACAGCAGGTAAGGAAAACATTAAAAACACATTAAGGTATCTCATAATAAATCAAATTATGAAAATCAAAGATAAAGAGAAAACTCTTGAAAGGAGCCAGAGAGGGGGAAACACACTAGGTGCAGAGGAACAAAGAATGGTATCAGACTTCTGTCTGAAACCATGCAGGGCAGGGAACAGTGGAACAATGTTTTAAAATTACTGAGAGAAAAAGGAAGCACTGCTAAAGAATTGAACATAAATTTCTAAAATTAAGATGCAATATAAATTGTTTAAAAATCAATAAAACATGAGAACAATTCTTACCAGCAGGAGTTTACTGTAAGACATATTAGAGGAAATTGTTCAAGCAAGACAACTACCCCCAATAAAAATTTAAAAATGATACTAAATAGAAATTTGAAACTGCAAAAAGAAGTCCAGTATACCAGGAATGGTCAGTATGTATAAAAGTAAAAAACACTTCTGTTTCAAGCAAAAACAGTAACAATACACTATGAGTTTTATAACATATACACAATTAAAATGTATGACAATAGCATACATACTAGGGAAAGAGAAAGGTAAGCAACATGTTATAAGGATCTCAAACTACACGTGAAAGTACTAAAATTTGAAGAGAGACTGTGAGAAATTAAAGGTTTTACTGTAAACACTACAGCAATCACTGAAATTATAAAACAAAAGGGGCACAGCTAATATGCCAATGGTGAAAATAGAAACACACACACAATCCTGAAGAAGGCAAGAGGGAAAACTGAAAGATGAAATAAGTAAAAAACAAATAACAAGATGGTAGATTTGAAGTCAACAACATCAGTAATGACCACAAACATTAACAGTCTAAACACTTGGCAACTGAAAGACAGATTTTTCAGCTGAATAAAAACCCAGACCCATTGTTATAATACGAAAAATTTTAAAGACTTCATAGATAAAAATTGAGAAGTTAGAAGAAATTTCTGTATATCATGCATAAACCAAAACGAAAGCTAGAGTCATTATATTAACATCAGACGAAGTGGACTTTGAAATAAGGAATGAGAAGGATCATCTCATGGCAAAGGGATTGTTTTATCGAGAGGACAAAACATACATATTGGACAGGAATGCAAAATGGTGCAGACACTTTAGAAAAGAGTTTGGAGGTTTCTTATAAAGTTAAACATATACTTAACATACATGCCAGCAATCTCATTCCCTTACTTCTGGGTAACTTCTAAAAACATACATACATGTAAAGACTTCTGTGTGAATGTCTAAAGCAGATTTATTTATAAGGGCCAAACATGGGAAGCACCCAAATGGTAAAGTGTGGGGAGTCCAAACTGTGGAATGAACATGTCACTCAGCAATAAAAGAGACAATCTATGAATTCACAGGGCACACGAGAAAACGGACGAATCTGCAAAGAACACTGCCAAGTCAAAGTCTCAATTCCATTTACTAAAATTCTAGAAAAGGTAAACTATAGTGCAAGTGGACAGATAACTGAATGCCATGGGCTGGGAGGAAAGGGAGACAAAAATGAACTGCAAAAGTACAATAAAACTTTTCCAGGTAAAGAAAATGTTACGTATCTTGATTGTGATGGGGGGTACACAACTGTATCTATTTCTCAAAATTCAAACTATACACTTGGTAAGTTTCAGTGTATGTAAATTATCACTAGAAATTATTCACTTTCTGTACTGGAAAAATTAAATTATCTGTCCACACTAAAGTTAATGGAGAACAGATGACAGCTAGTTGGGGGAATTTAGGGGTTGGAGGAATTGAGCAAAAAGGAATAAGGACTCATGGGCACGGAAAACAGGGTGGTGAGTGCTGGGGGAAGGTGGGTATAAAGGGACTAAATGGTAATGGAAAAAACATAATAAAGACTATACATTAAAAATATGGAAAATTGGAATGAGAATACACAGGAAGAGCCTGAAGAATTAAAGGCCGCTAAAACTTTGAGACTGCTTCCAAAACCCTTCTCTCAAAGGCAGAGGGGAAGACGCCCCACCCCCACCCCAGTGATAAAGCAACTGACAGAACAAACAGGGGCCCGATTAGCCCCCAATGACTAGATCCACCTATTTTCCATTCACGTCTGTGTTCTGAGACAGAAACAGACAGAAGCAAGTAAAACTCTTACAGTTGCTAAAAAGACAAAAGCCCCGTGACACTTAAAACTGCCCTAATCAACCAGAAGTTCTCAAAGGAGTGAGCTAAAGTTAGCGGCAGGAAAACCTCTGATCTGGTACAAGAGGTCTCTGACGGCTCAACTGCTGAGAAACTCCCAGGTTTCACACCCACACGCTGCGCACTGCTAAGGGAACAGAGCTTCCAGCTGGGAAGTTCCCTCCAGGAACCCCAGCGGTGGACCAGGAAAACATGGACAAAGAAAAACTCCAGAAACAGGCTGAATCCGGGGACACACTGGAATAACTTAAACAAGTGTGTCAATTGACTACCAGGGAAGTGAGTCAATGAAATGGCGCTCACTGATGCTCTCCTGGTCCTGCGGGATGCAGAGACAGTGCCTGGATCGGTAAGAGCTGTTTTACTTCCTTTTTTGCCTTTTCTTCAATTGGTATTTTAAACCATCATTATTCTGTCTTCCCTTTTTGCCTCTAGCACTTCACATGAAGTCTGTCAGTTATTTCTGCATTTTCCATTTAGCCCACGGAGTGAAGCTACATCCCCACCTGAGGAGGATGGACACCAACCGGAAAACTGCAGCCCTGCAGATGGGAGCCACAGCCAGACACGGCATGCGGGACGGAGGGGAGTATGTTTGGGTTTGCGGTTATAAATGAGAGGTTGTACTGCGCTGGGTAAAAGCACTGCTTGAACTCAACACATGGAGAAAGGCTGTGTGTGCAGGCTGGGAACAAAGAAATGAATGTCTGCTGCTTTGTCTACCAAGAACTCGTTTTCTCTGAGAACTGTATCTTACTCCTGGAGACAATTTCCCTGTTGCCATTACAACCACGTGGGTGCTGTCAAACAAGTAGCCCATCCTCTCAGCCATACAAAACAGAGTCCTGCCCCAGAACCAGACAAAACTGGAAGTTTGGGATGAAAAAGAATCCTTCTGTTGACAAAACTGAACACGTGCTCTGTAGTGCTGCCCGTAATCACGTATCCGGCCATGTAAGAGAGTTCTGTTCCAAAGAATAAAGCTGACGTGCAAAACAATGCGAGACAGAAATGGTTCAAGTGTCCTAGTGACAATCTTTCACCTTCAGGTGTGTCCTTGCCCTTTCTTCTAAGCTAGTTGGACCTACTGTCACATGCAATTACAAGAGTCCTGACACCAGGCTCTTAGAAGAAATTAAGTAGTTTAGCAGGCTAGCGTGGAGATGTACTGGGAACATGGTGGGGTAGTCTTAAAGAATCTGGAAATATTAAGCAGCTTTCTCAGCATCTTAAGTCAGTGTCAAAGCCACTCTGCTGCAACGCTTCCCTGACGGCAGCCTCACAGAGTATGCTGGCATACAAAGGTCAGTGCCCAGTCACACGTGGAAGCGAACGGTGGCATGTCCATCCCGGCACCGCACACTGCTGTCTGCGGGTGGGCCGGGAGGCCCTAGAGGCTGAGCCCACCGGTTGTGGCACGCACACCAGCTTAGTCTCTCCTGTTTGACAACACCAAACTACCGTTTCACTCTGCAAAGTGCACCCCTTTCTTGCACATCTCAAACACTGGATCTGCAGTAGATATCCATATCTCACGCTTGGCAGAACCGTCTCATGGAACTCCTTCCATTTCCCATTATGCCACGTTCACCTATGCCACACCTGCCCATCTTCCACAAGGGCCAATTCTTCCACATACGCTTGGAACTCTCAATTCTTTGGAGCCCTGCTTTGTCTCTTGGGTTTTATGCCAACGATTATTCTGTGTTATATAAGTTCAAGTTTCCCTTACCTACCAGAATGTAAGTGGTACGAAGACAGGGACCTCATCCATCCTCTTGACTACCATATTCTCTGATGCCTAGCACATAGTAGGTACTCAGAAGTATTTATGGAAACCAAGAGAAAGTGAATAAAAAGTTGGAAGTGAATAATCTGTCAGAAGACTTCCATTTCTGAAGTTCTGTAATTCTACTTCGAGAAGATCAGGTGCCACAGTGGATTTCTGACTTAGGGTCAGATGTTTTATCAAACTTTAATAATACTTTTCTAGATCAACATAATTTTCCCTCATCTTTGACTTTACTTCATAAAAATTCACTTTAAATTGAGCCTAAAGATGAGATAAATGACAACAAGTGATACTTACTCTTCTTTCCATCCATATCTGCGTGAATTTTCCGAGCCAAGAACCCACTTTTGTACACGGCAGCATTTGGGTCATGAGGAATGTCCAGGAATGGGTTGGTGGTACTCCCAATGCGGCTGATGGTCTTCGGATGTGTTCCATTAGCCTTCTCATCAGTGCCTTCTGATGGAGATTTTTTTTTCTCTTCATCATCTCTAAAGGGAGAAAACACAAAGATTGAGCACCTACCACAATACTCAACAAACAAAGTTTTTTAGTATAATGAACTGCGGTGCTTTCCAATGGCTTAGCAGCCTTAATAGAAACCATGTAACAGCAGCTATCATTTACTAAATGCCTCCTATGAACCAAGTATTAATGATCCTGACATCTTGTAAGACGACACTAGTAGTGGCCTACATTGAGGTAAGGCAATAGACTCAGAGTTGAAATAAGTACTAAAGTTGAGATCTAGTAAAGGAAGAAACAGTGAGGATAAGATTGTCAAAACTCTAAAGCCTCTGCTTTTCCCACCCGCAACAGTGCCTTCATGTTCACCTTCTTTCAAATAAGAGGATGGTCTTTGGCGGAGATCATGATTTTATTGTTGATTTCTGGTATCTGTATGGTCTAGCATAATGCCAAACATACAGAATACAACAAATAATTACAGGTTAAGTTCAATGAATAGCATTGAACTATATCTACCAAATAGCCAAGTTAACCTCAAATATCAAAACCACAGGTAAAGCAACCAATGGGTTAGGATGGTGTCATGGCACAGTGATTTGGCATTTAACGGCTACTATTTTCCAAACCACCCTGAAAGTGTGGGGCACCGTAACAGTCATGCTTGAGGTTGTAATACGCGTGAAGTATAATGGAAGAAAATGGGAGTGGGGAAGGAGGTTAACAAGTGCTGATACACTCCTGGAAAACAAAGCACAATACAAAATAAGAGAATTTGTCTTAGTTCCTGTTTTAATTTTCTGAATTAACCTCTGGTTTCATTGTTTATTAAACTTTTATCATTGAATCTTTTTGTTAAAACTTTGCCAAAATAACCACCAATAAAATATATTTAAAACAAACCAAAAAATTAACAATTATCTAAAGTGTCTATTTGGTGACTGAGAAAAACTGCCTTTTTTTCTCTACTAGTATTTGGTAGGTTTTTGCAAGGTATATGAAAATGCCAGTGGACTCTGAGACATCTATATTTTACTTTTAGATAATTTTAGATTTCCAAAGATAGTACACAGGTTGCCGTATGCCCATCACCCAGTTTCCACAATGGTATCAGCTTATATAACTACAGTAAAAATTCAAAACAAAGAAATTAACACTACAAAATAGTGAATTAAACTTGAGTTTATTCAGATTTTACAAGTATTCTTGCTAATATTTTTTCTGTCCCAGGACCCTACCCATGATCCCCCAGTGCCTCTAGTTCTCATGTCTGCTCCAGTCAGTGACAGTCCCTCAGTTTCTTTCTTCTTGTCCTTCATGACCCTGACACTGAAGAGGACTGGTCAGTTATTTCGTAGACTATCCCCAGTTCAGGTCTGTTTGATGTCTTCTCATATCTAGGTTAAGGTGGTATAATTTTAGGAAGGATGCCACAGCCGATGTACCTTCTGAGTGCCTCAGATTTTTACTGCCAGGCATACTAACCTTGATCACTCAGTAAGGTGGTCTCTAGCAAATTTCTATACTGTGAAGTTTTATTATTTTTCTTTGAAAATGATTTTCAGGAGATATTTTATGGCTATGAAAATACCCTTTTTCTTTAAACATTTGACTGCTAATTTTAGCATTTATCAGTGATTCCTGCCTGTGACAATTATTGCTGCGGTGATGTAATGGTGATTTTATTCCCCTCATTTCTCCTACCTTACTAATTGCAACTTTGCTGTTAAGTATGGGCAATGGATTGTAAATTTTTCTTTGGGTTATAATCAAACAGTATTATTATTTAATTTTTTGCTCAAAATTTTCCAGCTTTGGCCATTGGGAGTTATATCAAGTAGGCGGGTCACATAAGGTTACCAAGAACTTAAAATGTACACAGTCCAAATTCAGATGTGCAGTAAGTGAAAAAATATAGAGATTTCAAAAGACGGAAAATATTTCAATAATTTTTATATGATTACACATTGAAATAATAATATGCTGAATACACTGGGTCAAACTAAAAAATACACTATAAAACTTTCCCTGTTACTTTTTGCTTTTATAACATGCCTACTAAAATTTTTAAATTACATATGTGGCATGGATTACATTTCCCTTAAACAGGGCTGTTGTTAGCAAGGCTTGCACGTCCCATGAGGTTGGAATACTAAAGGCCCGGTACAACAGTGGGGCAATAATTGGAGAAATGTTCAACATACAGCTCAGTAAAGCTCTGTGACAGTAAGTGAAAATATTCAATCCTGCAAAACAAGTATTCTTGATGTTGTGAAGGTTAATGAAATGACCTTGTCAGACTCTGAGAGTAAGAATCTGTCGTGGCCAGAGATGCGGTTTGGCACCATCTGGTGATGGCTGTCTTCTGGGCTTAAATACACATGGGTGTGTGAGGGCTGGGACTTCCAGGACGGAAGTGACACCAGAGATAATACTGTAAGGTCCTTTTCCTCTGCTGCTAGCACTCCCCACCACCACCTTGCACTCCCTTCTCTTTTATTCCTGACCTTCCTCCTCCATCTCCTCAGTTCCCAGAGCTTCTGCCTGGCTCCGTTTGAGACAGGAAGTGGCAGAGAATAGGAACCAGTCACGAAATACCTGAAGTCACATTATTGTTGCTGGCATCATTGGGGGGGGGGCTTTGTTTTTATAGATATCATAAATGCAAGTGCCTCACCATAAGGAAGGCTGTTTCCATCGTATGTAAAAGCAGATATAAATGAACACAATATACTCATAAAAGTGATTCTATAAATCAACTTAACTCATTTCTGTAGAAGACGGTCCCTTAACTAGGGCTTTCCCATGCACCCTGGCCCACTGAGGCATTTTCAGAATGACAGTACAAAAGATTTTGTTAAAGTAACACAGAGAAGACCCAAAGGGCTCTCTGTCTTGATTGTGAGAAGAATGAGCCATAGATGAACATTTCGTACATTTCAAAAGATTCCTAGTGGAGTGCAGTCTACCGAAATTCCAGACGTCTCAACACCTTACAACCTACAAAATTCCCCCAAGCACTCCCCACCCCAACCTGTTCTCTCAGTGAGCAAGCATATCATTCACTGGGCAGTCCAAGCCACTACATCATGATGCAGTGGACTTCCAGAACGACAAAGGTGCGGGCCCTGGGTAACTTTTCTACTTCTCTGTTCTTTCGAAAGGGCAACTATAAACCACAAATTTTCCATGTTCTGCCTTACTCATGACAGGTGCTTTTATTTTTAAATAAAAAAATTAGATAAGGAATCACACAAATCCACTGGAGTCTTGTATTTCACTGAATTTCCACAAAAATGAAAAACAACTGCTTCCTAAAATTTACAGTAGTTGAATACTGTTACAGTGACCCAGCCACTGAGCAGACTATGAAATGCACCACTTGGCAAGTGTCATTAAAGTGAGGTATCGACTGGCAACACATGCGAAAATTAAGTTATCTTGAAGGGCCTGCTATGTGGCATTCAAATACTGTAAAATAAATTGGGGGGACGGGGCTTTTGTGTGTGAGGGATGTCAGGGTGGGAAATAACAGTTAAAAAGAAACACTGTATAGATCCGAGCTGAAATATTCCTCAACCTGCAAAATCCTCACTAAGAATGTGATATAGGAGTTGGGAAATAAAGAGAAGTTCAAGTTCAGCAGGCAAAAAAAAAGTGAAGAGGGCACTTCCAAGCATTCACATTTTTGTGTGCATTTCCTTTGTTTTACTGTAGTAAAATATTTAAAATTTATCATTTTAACCATTTTTAAATAGCACAGTTTTGTGGCAATAAGTACATTCACTTTGTTGTGAAACCAGCACTACCAACCATCTCCAGGATTTTTCGTCAACCCAAACCAAAATTCTGTACCCACTAAATAATGACTCCTTATTCCCTCCTCCCTTAACCACTGGCAGTAACTATCCCACTCTGTTTCTGTGAATCTGACTTCTCTCGGTACCTCATATAAATAGAATCCTACATTATCTAGGACTGACTCATTTCACTTGGCACAGTGTCCGAAAGGTTCATCCATTCATCAGTTAAGGAACACTTGGGTTGCTTCCACCTTTTGGCTACTGTGACTAATGCTGCTATGAACATAGGTATACAGATCTTTTTGAGTCTTTGCTTTCAGTTCTTTTGGGGAGACAGCCAGAACTGGAATTGCTAGAACATATGCTAATTCTTTTTAAAATTTTTTGAGGAACCACCACATTGTTTTCCATAGTGGCTGTGCCATTTCACATACCCACTGACAGTGCACAGGAATAACCTTTACTCCACATGCCTGCTAACACTTACTTTCTGGTGCTTTGCTGGTAGCCATCCTAATGGGTATAAGGTAGTATCTTATTACGGTATTGATTTACATTTCCCTAATGATTAGTGATGTTGATCAGCTCTTCATGTACCTGTTGGCATTTCATATATCTTAGGAAAATGGTCAGCTCAGGTCCTTTGCCCATCTTTAAATCAGATTACAGCCACGTTCTGCTTAATGACAGGGATATGTTCTGAGGGACTGGGTACTATACACACAGCAGGAGGTGGGGCTATGAAATTAGCTTCCCTGCCCTGGGGAGGCAGCAGGCTGAGACCAGGGCCTACATGGCTCATTGTTTGGGGCCCCGCGTCAGGACTAGTAGGGTGCACTGAATATCCCAGTCGGGCACGGCCAGCTATTTTGCTCAGCAGGCAGGAAAAGCCATGGGCTGTGCTCCCTGTTCAAGTGCCATGATAATCAGGCTGTAGGATGGGTTCTGCAGCTTCCTGTGTGCTGTCTGGTAAGGTTCCCTGGTTGGGTGGGCTGAAGACCTTATTCAGCAATAAGTGGGGCTATGACTCAGCTTTTCTGCCTGGATGTGGGCAGACCAGGCTCCAAGGCCAGCAGAACTGCTTGTTTAGGAAACCAAATTAGGCAGACCTGTACTCTGCCAACACCCCTAGGCAGACTACTGAAACGTCACCGTGGTTCCACAGATGAGCAAAGCCACTGGTTGGGACCACTATTTGGACTCTGCAGTTAAGAACTCAGACT